CCTTCAAAGTCTAGATTACTAGCAATCTTGTCTAAGTTAGTTCCAGTTGTGATTAGTTCTTGACTCATAGTAATCCTAGGATTAACAGATCTGAACCTTGCCCTAATTTGCTTCGAGTCCATTGTTACAGTCACTGTGTTAATCTATCTTGTTGAGAGTCTTCCTCTCTTCCATGGGTTTTTGCTCTTTTGTTGATCCCCCACATTTTATAGCATGATATCTTTTGGTATGTGATATGAAGCTTTGTCATCATTGCCTACAAGGGGCATTCTGGCTGCACTTTCTCCAAGACATACCTGTTTGTTCTTTTGGCAGTCCATGGGATATACCATACTCTTCTCCGACATCTGAGTTCAAAAGCAGCAATTGTTTTTCTGTCATCGTTATTCATTGTCAAGCTCTCAAATGCATAGTAATTGATTGAAAAATCGTGGCCTGTATTGAGCACACCTTAGTCTTCAAACTAGCATCATTGCTCCTTGGTAATTTGGAGAGGTACCTGACTGCAGACTTTCCCAACGTGATATATCTCCTAACTGCTGGTTAGGAGTGTTTGTTGATTGTGGACCGTAGTAAGAAGAAATCATTGTCAACATCAGTCTTTTTTCCATCTCTCATGACGTTGTTAGGGTTTGTTATATTTAACTAGATAATATCTAAGTAAAATGGGTTCTAAAACTAGTAATTTATGAGTTATATGAGAGTATATTAGACACAAAGGTAAACATAAAGGGGGAATATAGGTGCTGGCTGATGATGACAGTAGATGAATCTACAAGCCTGGTGACTTCAAGGATTTCTGTGTATTGTTAGTTGTTGTTAGATACCATTGAGTTGACTATGATGTATGAAAAATAGATGGAAGCTTTGCCTTATCCTGTGCCATACTCACAATCTCCACCATGCTCAAGTTCAATGTTGCACTCACTGTGTCAATCCATCTTGTTGAAGGTCTTCCTCTTTTTCTCTGACCCTCCACCTTTTCCAGCATGACATCTTTTTCCAAGAACTAGCCCCTTCTGACGACATGCCCAAAGTATGTGAGACAATTTTTTTTTAAAATTGCAGGAGCAAAGATTTTGGAAATTATTACTCAACTTGGGAGGGACTGGAGAGCATTATGCTGAGTGAACTAACTCAGTACCATAAGGACAAATATTGTATAAAATAATTATTATAGATTAATTATGAGAATCCAAGTGGTGGGGTGGGAGTGGGAGAGGGATGGGGTAGGTTCAGAGCTATTGTACATAGAGTTACTGTGAATCGCAGACAACTTCGTGGCATATAACAACAACAACCACAACATTATTTGAAATGTTACTTCCTATTTTCATCCACTTTATCCAAGGTCTCCTACTATATAATATCTTTCAGAGAAATCAGCAATTGTAGCAGGGCACCATCTAGTTCTTCTTTTCTCAGGGTCATAGAGATTGGATTTACTTCTTTACATTACTTGAAGAATACAACCTTAATATGTATTTCATTCTACTATTCATAGATTTGGTTTTGGAATCTTTATTATGCTATGTTGATTAGTAGACTTAAAGTACTTGCTCACTCCTATGCCACACTTTTAATTTCCAATATTTGTATTGTGTATTATCACAATTTTTGTTGTTGTTGATTGCCTTCGAGTTGAGTACGACTCATAGTGACCCTGTGAATAAAAGGACTGAAGCCCCTCTACAACTATCAACATTTATCAAAGTTCATAGAGTTTCTGGAGGCATGTTATTTAGGAAGTGGATGCCACTCCTGCTTCCAAACCTGTGTGTTATTGCTGTTAGGTGCCATTGAGTTGCTTGCGATGTATAGTGACCCTATGCACAGCAGCTCTGAACCATTTCCTGAGACAGTTTCCTGAGCTAGTCTGACTAATTCTGACACAACAACCCCCATCGCCCCAGTTACAGTATCAACCCATCTTATCTCATTTCAAGCATGGCTGCTCCTTGGAGGCAAGGATTCTGAAGCTTCATCTGACATACTTTGAACATGTTGCAAGGCAGGATCAGTCCTTGGAGAGGGACATCATGCTTGGGAGGATGGAGGGACAACGCAGGAGAGGAAGACCCTCAATGAGATGGATTGATTCAGTGACTGGAGTAATGGGGTTAGATGTGTCAGAGACAATAAGATTGGCACAGGATAGAGCAGGGTTTAGGGCTGTTGTACATAGGGTCGTTATAGTCACAGGCAACTCGATGGCACATAAGAACAACAAAACTAACCTGAAAGTTAGAGGTTCAAATTCACTTAGTGTACCCTAGAAAAAAAACTGGTGAGTGGTGTTTGTAAAGATTACAGTCAAAGCCAAAACCAAGCAAAAACCTGTGGGTCTCAGTTCTACTCTACAGGTCATAGGGTCACATTGAGTTAGAACTGATAGGCCAACAGGTTAATGTGGGTTTTTTGGTCTGAAAATGAGAATGAGGATGTGACTGTTGGGTTCCTAAACAAATGATGATGTGACTGACTTGAGAAAACAAAATTGCTAAAAGCAGGAACAAGAAGACCCAGTGTGAGCAGCACAGTGTGGTTATCTATTCCCATCCTACAGGGCGCATACATGGCTGACACTCCTTCTCTATCTCGGGTACTATGGGGTGTGGAGAAGTTTGCAGGGCTCAACACTAGTGATCAGAGCCTACATGTCTGAAGGGAGCCTAGGACAAGATGTTCCCTTGACTGTTTTTAATTTTCCTTCTCTCTCCTGTTATACCCAGTTCCTGGGGCCTGTCCTATTATTTTTTTTCTGAACTTTTTTTGGGTGTGTCACTATTGAATACAGTCATGGAAATAATGAAGAAACCTAGAAAACATTCCCTCATTGCTCTTAACAAATAATTTGTGTCCCTGTTACAAAGTGATAATCAAATCTCTGGTAATGAATTAATGTATCTCAATAGAATTGTTCATAAATTACATCTTCCAAGAAATATACTTGCATTGGAAGAAATACATTTAAATTCAGTGCTTTCCTCGTTAAAAAAATCAATACAATTTTAATAAAAATAAAACCCCATTCTAAAATATATCTGGGAAAGAAACATGTGAGAGAGCCCAATTTTCTTCTTATTTTTGAAAGAAAAAAATTGCTTTTCTAATTGGCTAATGGAGCATACTTTAGGAAGTATAGTCTAACATGATCTGCAGAGCAACCAATGCCATCTAAGTCAGTGAATCTGATTATATACATGGGCAGGAAGAGAGTGGACCTGCCGTTTGGACTATCATTGCCTTCCTGAGAATTCACAGGGCTGCCAGATCCTACATTTGAAAGAGAAAGGAGAAGGGGGCTCTGAAAAGAAATAAAGTATTAGATTTCAACTATATGCAGGATAGTATTAAATGCTTACAAAACATGCAAAGAAAATCTGCTAACAGAGATTATAACAAATTCTCTGCCCTAAGTCCATAGAAAGTTATGCTGCTAACCCAAAGGTGGTTCCTTTTTAAGAGTACGAATCCACCAACCACTCCATGGGAGAAAGTGCACAATCTCCCCCCATGCTATTTATAGCCTTGGGAAACCCATTGAAGGGCCAACTATGAGTCTAACTTGATGACTATGAATTGATTTTAAGTTAGGAATTAAGTGTGAGTTAAAATCTCCTCAAGAAAACAGTATTAGAAATGGGGCAAGGTTGTCAGCAGTGTGGGTGAAATAACAAAGCACATATAGATGAGTTTCTAAACAGTTTAAGCCAAAGGAGTGTATGAAAATGTTGTGGGAATGGACGTTTTGTTGGTAGTTGTACAAAGGAGATTTAATGTTGAGTAGAACATAGCACTCAACCACCCACCTGTCAGTTTGCTGTATTTTGTGGTTTACATGATCCTGTAATGCTAGAAGCTAGAAGGGATTAAAATACCAATAAACTCATCCCTGGGACTCAGGCTTCAAGACAGCTTTCAGACAAATGCAAACTAGAAAGAAAAACCTGAAGATCTATTTTCAAAATTTGTCAATGAAAACCTTATGCATTATTAATAATAATTAGAATAGCCTTAAGCAAAAGGCTATTCTTCAATCAGTGCTGGAAAATAAGCAGCACTCAATAATAAACTAAATACACCAACATTTGTGAATGTGATGTAGGACTGAGTTATGTTTACTTTGTTATGCCTGAGGTCGCCATGAGTTGGAGAAGATGTGACAGCAATCAACAGCAATATGAAATAGCACTGTGTAGTAAAAATGTGACTCGTGACAGTTTTTACAAAGTTGAAGAGAATGTTATTTGGAAAAAACTCACATCTAAGAAATAATAAATGAGGGTTCAGTAAATTGCTGGTGGGGTTGGTGACAGAGACTTAAAGAAGTAGCTAAGCATCTTACTTGGGCTGATTAGAGATCAGGAGTAAGAAATGTGGTATTTAATGAAAATTTAGTTTATGAAAATGGAAAAAAAACTCCTGGAGTATAACATTACTGATTATCATCTTCTATGCAAAACTTGATATGATGTAAATCCAGCCAAATTAAAAAAAAAACAAAACACAAACCACTGAGATAATTGCTATAGTTGGCTTGAATTGCATGATGTATCAATTCATTCTCTTTCCACATGGTGCTTGGTGTCCCTTGACTTGGCAAATAGAAACACCAGATATGGCAGTTTAGATTTGTGAGAAATCTTTATTCCTTGGTAAAATTTTAGAGACAGATTCTGATTTTCTCCCTTTAAAAGGCTCCATTCCACTCCTTTCCCCATCATGACCATTTCTTACCCACTTCTCTACTCTTGTGGGCCTTCTCCTTTTCTAATTTTTCCCTTTTACAGAACTCTATCCTCATCCCCTCCCTAGTTTCTCTCTTCCCAGCTCTCAGTGAATAGAAAATCAGGTTCAGGGACAACAGGTGGGGTTGGCTGCTCTCCTTCAGGACCATTACCTTCACAGGGAATAAAAGAGGATGCAATGCCCATGACTGAGAGAACTCATAAAGAGAAAGATGACTATAAGCTGTGCTGGTCATTCTGGGCACTATCTCAGGGTGAATTTATTGGGAGGAGAGGAGCTTGATCGTCTTTCTCTGATTGCTCTACTTCGTGCAGTAACTTGTAATAGGGTCTATGATATGGAGCTTCTTTGTACTCTGTACTCTTCCAGCTGAAACAAAAACAGTTATACCAAAGGAATGAGAAACTGTAGATTCCCAGCTGGCATGAGGCATTAATCATCACATGCCAGCAGAAGAAGGTGGTGACAAAGGCAAGGTCACTCAGATCTTCATCCTGCCACGGGTATCCAGTGATTGGTTTGTACAGAATAAAGGCTGCTTGCATCAGCCAGGAGCCCATCGACAGAAACAGAAAGGTTTCCATGATCCAGAGATGAAACATGCCAGGAGTCCACAACTCTACAGTCAGCACCAGCACCAGCAGGAGCACAACCAAGATGAGCAGAGAGTGAACCTGCAGCTCCACCCCTTCAGAGCCCTGAATGTGCGACACCAGTAGCAGAAGAAGAACACAGAAGGTTAGGACCTGCACGCCTAGCTCCAGGAACACACACCTCTGGGGCAGCAAGTTCTTGCTCAGAATGTCGACACAGCCGTTGAGGGTGAGGAGGATGAACATGGTGAGATGTTGCCACTCCTTAGGATACATAAATCTTGATGGCACCTGTTTGTTCATCAGCACCATCCCATCATCAAGACAGATGACCACATAAGCTGTTAAGAGAGATCCAGTCACCATCTTCAGCACACCACTGTAGGATATTTTCCACAGAATAGCCCATTTCCGCTTATTCTTGGGGGGACAGGGAGAATGTAGGGTAGACTCATTGAATATGATGGCCTTGGAGATGACTATTGTCTGATATAGTCCATAAGAGTAAAGATATAGCCCTGGATAAAAATGACCATTGAATTTCCCCATCAAATTACAGGTCTATCTAGCAGTGAGGAACAAAACTCAGGACCTTTTCTCACTCGTCTTCCTTAAGGAACACACACGCTTTGGGCTGTAAGTAAAGAAGTAATATGTACCTACTTTTATCATCCCCCACTGCCTACCACTCCCCCACAAAATGGAAAGTCCTGAACCAGCGCCTACGGTTTGGGTTGAGTAGGCCTCATTGTTCCATTCCATTCTAGTACACTGGGAACCAGCTCAATTCTGCCACGGAGGAAGATGAATAGTTCCTATTCTGTGGAAATGTGCCTTCTCAGTCGTTCTGCTTTTCTTGAGGCAATTACTCTCATGCTTGTCCCTTTGTCCTATCCCTTGTTTTCTCGGCTTCTGCTTAGTGCTTAGAAGGGCAAAGAAGAGATGCATGAAGGTGGAGATCAGAAAGACCTGGATTGCATAAAAACTATTATGTGTCTTCTAAGACTTTACTCATATATGTCATAAGCTGAGGTAAAAACATATTCTTTCGCTACTGGGAACCCACGCGGGGTCGACATGCGTATAGAGAAGTGTTACTTCTGTTCGGGGCACGTCTACCCCGGCCACGGCATGATGTTCGTCCGCAACGATTGCAAGGTGTTCCGATTTTGTAAATCCAAATGTCATAAAAACTTTAAAAAGAAGCGCAATCCTCGCAAGGTCAGGTGGACTAAAGCATTTTGGAAAGCAGCGGGTAAAGAACTTCCAGTGGATAATTCATTTGAATTTGAAAAGCTTAGAAATGAACCTGTCAGATACCAGCGGGAACTATGAAGTAAAACTATTGATGCAATGTAGAGAGTGGAAGAGATTAAGTAAAAACGCCAAGCTACATTTATAATGAACAGGTTAAAGAAAAATAAAGAATTACAGAAAGCTCAGGATATCAAAGAAGTCAAGCAAAACATCCATCTTATCCGGGCACCGCTTGCAGGCAAAGGGAAACAGCTGGAAGAAAAAATGGTACAGAAATTGCAAGAGGATGTGGATATGGAAGATGCTTCTTAAAATTTTCCCTGTCTCTAACCATGTGTTTATGTATATTTAAAAACACCTTTGGAGACTTGGAACTTTTAATTGATTGATTTATTACTTACATAGGGTTGCTTATGAAAGATGATTAAAAACATCTTCATTGCAATCTGAAACATCAGTTATTATGGCTGTTTGTTTCTCATTAAATCTCATGGATTTACATAAATCATGAAAACTCATTTATGATTACAGATGTGAATTGTAGGCATACAATGGTCCATTTTCAGGTGCTGACACTCTGTAGCATTTAATAATAACAATTTGTAAAATAAAATTTCCCTTTGCAGTGAAAAATAAAACCCAAACATATTCTTTCTTAACATCAAAGTTCATAAACATTTTGACATGTGCCCACAAATATACATAGTTGACACCTAACTTGGCCTCTTTACTCTTCTGGGATAGACACATTTAGGGACTACCAAGAAAATCTCATACCTGCCCCTGAATCACCTTCTACTGACCAGTAAATGAATCTGGAAAACCACTTTTTGAGATCAATTTTGGAGGTATTAAGATGTAATTTCTTATTAAATGCACATACTATTGAGATGATTCTGATGGCCTAGTGGTATGAAGCTGCTGCACAGCAATCCCAAAGGCACGAGGTTTGAATCCACCAGATTCTCTATAGGAGAAGGACAGGAAGTCTTCTGTATGGTTAACTGCCTCTGGAAACATGCTGGAGTGTCAGCTCTGGGTCGATTCCAACTTGACAGCAAACAACAACAACAATTGAGGGGAGTAGATCCAATGAGTAACTTATATTTTAATTAAAACATCTCCTTAACTTCTTTATCTCTCCAATTAAAATTCTCTTGGTGTCTAATACCTATAAGAAGAAAGAGTCCTAGGCATTATATGACAAGCAGCTGCAGTAAGCAAGTTCAACAACTGCTGACTGAAAAGTTGGAGGTTCAAGTCTACCCAGAGGTGTCTCAGAACAAAGCCTGGTAGTATATTTCCAATCAGCTAGGAAAATCTTGTGGAGCCTGCCTCTACTTTGGCACATATGGAGTCACCATGAGTTAGAATTGACTGATCCAAGGCAAGAGTATTCAATTAGAGGATAGTAGAGAGCAAGAATCAGAGGCAGACACTAGCCATACAACTGATTCTGTGATAATTGCAGATAACACAGGGAATGAATTTCTCTAAGGCTGCTGAGTGTAATAAAGAAAGAGGTAATGTATCATTGAATGTATACAGGGTTGACTTCAGTCTCCTGCATAATTGTTCAGCCTTCAGGATATAAGCAATACTGTGGAAAAGAGAGGCAACACCTATATGCTGATAGCATCCCTAGTGGGAAGGAGGATAGTATACACTCAGATCTCAGCATTGCCTCTAAGCCTTCACTCTCATCCAAACATCAGCCTTTCCCCCAAGTCCATTCAGTATCAGGTATACTCAATTTCTTTATTGACATAAGGATGGAGACCATTCTTTGCCAGTGGAAGAAAAAAAATTTGAGTATAGAAGTGCCATAGGATAGAGAACTTAAGCTCACTTTATATTTTAACTTCAGCATTCTTTTCTGCTTCTTATAAGTGTGATGTATATTGGCTGGAAATTCACCAGGTTAATTTTATTTTTTGGTAAGTAGACTCTATAAGAAGGCCTGGTGGAGGAGTATATGATGTATTGGGCTGCTAACAGAAGGGTCTATTTGGTAGAAAGACAGACTGTCTCCTCCCATAAAGATTTACAACATCAGAAACCTAATGGAGCAGAGTCATGAGCTAGACTCAATTCCATAGCAATGGATTTGGCTTTAATGCTTTGATTTTGCTCATCAGTTTAAAGACTAAGATACATCTAATCCAAACCATTGTATTTTAAATAACTTCCTGGGCATCTGAAATTGAGACAATAAATGACAGAAAAAAATAAATGCCTTTTAATTATGGTTTGGAAGAAGAGTACTGAATATATATGCACCGCCAAGCAAACAAGTCTATCTTGGAGGAATTGCAACCAAGATGCTCCTTAGAGACAAGGATGGTGAAACTTCATCTCACATTACTTTGAGCATGTTGTCAGAAGGGGTCAGTCCTTGAAAAGGGACATCATACTGGCAAAAGGTGGTAGGTTAGAGAAAGAGAGAAAGACTTTCAACAAGATGGATTGACACATGACTGTAATAATGGACCCAGGAATATTAGAGATCATGAGAATCGGGCAGGAAAAGCAAGGTTTAGATCTATTGTTCATAGGATCACTACTATCAACTTGAAGTTGATAGTATAACAACACCACCAATAACATAATGGGCTTGATGATATACTTGATTAGTGTTGGGTATTAACTGAAGTTCAACAGTTTGAATGCATCAGTCACTCTATGGAAGAAAGATGGGGAGTCTCTTTCTGTAAGGATTTAATGTCCCAGAAATGTGATGGAGGGTTGCTGTGATTTGTAGTTGGCTCCATAGTGATGGATTTTTGGGTTTAGTGTCTCCCATAAAATCTCTCTTGTGTACTTTTCTTTTTTAAAGTTTTTTTTTTTAATTTTATTTTATTACTTTTGTGTGTGTGTACCGTCAAATCAGATCTGACTGGTACAGGAGAAGATTGCCCCTCCTTCCCTGGCAGAGCATCTGGTGGATTCGAACCGTGCACATCTGGGATTGTAGTTGCAGCTTCTTGCCATTAGGCCACCAAAGCTCCCCTTCTTGTGTACTTTTCAATACCATTATTTTTCTTAGGTACCACCATCAAATTGAATGTGACCCATAACAACCCTATAATTAGCTGATCTGAACCTTGTCCTATCCTGTGACATCTTTACAGTCTGTAACATACTTGCGCCCATTGCTGCTGTTATTGTGCTAATCCATATGGTTGTAGGTCTTCTCCTTCACTCACCTTTCACCTTTCCAAGCATGATGTCCCCATAATAAATAGACTCTTCCTAGTGAAATGTCCAAAGTATGTGAGACAAAGCTTTATAATGCTTGCCTCCAGGTAGCACTTCGGCTACACTTTCTCGAAAACATAACTGCTTATTCTTTTGCAGTCCATGGCTGTTCAGTGCTCTCTCCAACAACACGTCTCCATGGCATCAATTCTTCTTCAGTCATGTTTATTCCTGGTCCAGCACTCAGATAGATAGAGAATGACTGAAAAGAGCATGGCATGAACCAGGCCTATCTTAGTCCTTAAACTGACCTTATTGCTCCTCAATAATTTGGAAAGATCCCTGATTGCAGACTTTCACAGTGCAAAACATCTCCTGATTTCCTAACTGTTGGTGCCAAGGATGTTGATTGTGGATCTAAATAAGAAGATGTCGTTAACAATGTCAATCTTTTCTCCACCTATAATAATGTTGCCTATTGGTGATAAGAATCCAGTGGTAAGAATTTTTGTTTTCTTGACATTGAGATGTAATCCATATTGAAGGATGTATACTTTGATCTTGATCTTCTTCTGCAACAAGTGCTTCAAGTCTTCCTTATTTTCAGCAAGCAGGGTTGTGACATCTGCATAACACATGTTATTAATAATCTTCCTCAAATCCTGATGCCACGTTCTTTTTCACAGAGTCTAGCTTCTTGAATAATTTACTCAGCATACAGATTTTATAAGTATGAAGAGAGATACAACCCTGACATACACGCTGAATAATTTTAAACCATGTGTGGATTACAACAAGCTGTGGCTCGCTCTGAAAAGCATGGGAATCTCAGAACACTTGATTGCGCTTATGTGAAACCTATACTTGGACCAGGAGGCAGTCATCAGAACAGAGGAAGGACACATTGCCTGTTTCAAAATCGAGAAGTGTGTGCACCAGGGATGTGCCCCATCTCCATACATTTTCAATCTATATGCAGAACAGATCATCTGGAAGGCTGGGCTCCATGAGGAGAAATGTGGCACCAGTGTTGGAGGAAGACTCATCAACAATCTGAGTTATGTAGATGACACAACCCTGCTTGTTAATATTGG